TGCAGCTGGAATCCCCCATCAGACATGCAGGGCCTTTTCTCACCTTCCTTTTTCAGGTGGTGGTTAAAAAGGGGAAGGACAATGTGGAGAGGACCAAGGGTTGCAGTATGTTGGACACTGTGGGAAGAAAGAAACTCCAGGATATTCTCAGAAACTTAGAGAGGAACAGCAGATCTGAGGGCTATCATACATTTTAGGGCGGTACAGTGGCTGAAATATTTAGAAATATTCACAGATTACACTGTGGATGACATGTTGAGGAAGTGGGGTGAAATTGCAAATTGCACGCAGACCAAGTCAGTAAYGAGTGTGGCTTGGACCCCCCCACCTAGTGGATTCTTGAAATTAAACTTTGATGGATGCAGTAGGGGAAACCCGGGACAATCGGGGATCGGGGGTGTTTTTAGAGATGAAAATGGGGTCATCTCTGCTATGTTCTCAGGCCCAATTGGAGTGGGTGACTCCCTTAGAGCTGAGATATGTGCAGTTATGGAAGGAGCCCGGAAAGCTAAGGAATTGAACATTAAGAAACTTATAATTGAAGGGGATTCAGAGGTGGTGATAGGGTGGCTGACTAAAGATCAAAATGATTTATGGAAGTATAATAATGAGAAGAGGAAATTCAAATGGCTGGTGCGGGAGATGGAAGTTAAGACATGTTGGATTARAAGATCAGCTAATTCCCTAGCTGACGGTTTAGCAAAACAAGGGGCAGAAAGGGATTCTTTGTTTTGGGCTAAGCTGTAACGTTAGTGTCTTTGTATCTTTGTATTTTCTTTTTTCATTTCTTGAAGTTCTTTGTGACTCTTGGAAGATAAGTGTGTTTGTCTTCCACTTGTAAATTTTCTACTGATGAATTAATGAAAGTGTTATTGATCAAAAAAAAAAATTATTTGTTGTCAAAACCACCAATAGAAGGTGGGGTATCCAGTAGTTCATGTATCCCTCCCCCCTCCTAATCCTACACAAGAGTTAAAAGTTTGAAACAATATCCAAACATGACCTGATCACCACCCCAACAGCCTCTCTATTCAAATACACGCATGTATTTATTTATTTTATAATCAATTAGAAGCTTCTTTCATTATCAGTTGAAGAACACATGAATTTCTTTCATAATCAGTGTACTTAATCCATGAATCAAGACTAGGCATGACATACTCTAATTAAGTTGTCATTCTTTTAACCTGACTGAAGGCTGCAATTCCTTTAAGCACCTTCATTTTAGGGTTCATGTGATGAATCTTAGCCTCTCTGGAGCTTCTTATAATTCAGGCTACTTCCAAGGAAGACTCCACAGAATACAAATCTTGAAGATGTGCTGAAAAGAATATAGAAATACAACAATAATCTAGTAATTTGAAAATTTCTTGCTTCAAAAGTCACCTTTTCAGAATTTATCAAAACAAAAAAAAGTTGCCTTTTCAGAGTACTTGAAATCAGATTCATGCATGTGAGGGACACTTAAAATGCAAAATTCATAGTGAAGAAGTCACACAACGCAGCATTCCACATTTTCGAGACAAGGTATATGGCTCAATCTAGGCACTTACACACTGCAGGGGGGAGGGGGGATCCTGCTTACCTGTTATAGAGCTCCAAGTCTAGATTAATGGAAATTAAAGAACATTAAGTTGGTTTACTATAACAAATAAACAACCAGACAGCAAAGATAACACTAGTACAGTGGCATTAGGTCTATAAAGAGAAAAATGGTGCCAAGCAGTTCACCCAGAAGTAATGCACCTTTTCTTTTCTAAATATATTGTGTTAGCACATAATAAAATATTTTTTTATTTTGAAGGATCATTGGTTCTGTAAATTGAACACTCTGCAGCAGTAATTTCTCTTTCCCAACTCAGCAAGCATGTATTGAAAGCCTATTATGCATTAATATGTTGGTAAAATGTGTTTATCCATGCATGAGAAGCTACAAAAGGACAAAAAGCATTACCATCCCTAAGTTGAGCTTGCTGCTCCATGGCTTGAAGACGGAATTTCAACTCATTGTTCTGACTGGTAAGCCCAGCAGAATCTCTCTGAATGAAAAAAATGAGAGAAGTTGTAAGCCGCAATAATAGAAAAACAAAAAAGAATACCAACTGGCTCTAGACACTCACCTGTAAAAGTGTCAGCTGTGCAGACAATGTGGTGGCTTCTGTCTGTAGCGTTTGTACCTTGTGTTCCAATTCTGAAATGTATCGCATTTTCCGTTCCTTGGACCGTGCAGCTGACTGCCGATTAGCCAAAATCCTACGGTGACATCATCATGCAATAGAGTATATCTCAGTCATCATTGGTGATAAAACAACTATAACAAAGCAAGGTACTGTACCTTTTGGCACGTTTGGGATCTGCCATTGCGATCTCAGCAAGTTTCTCGTTTCCCATAATCTTCTTAAGCTCAGCACCACTGAACTCCCCATTCCCAAAATCCAAACTGAATGCAGCTGAGTTGCCGTCCATTGAATTGCTGTGCGAATGTTGACCTGGCCGAGTTCCCGGAGAAGGTGGCAACTTTGGTGATTCATCACTCAAACTATGCATCTTGCCCATGAAACTATCCATAGAAACACTTCTACAGTGACGGGTGGTTGGAGCAATATCTCCTCCCGCACTCCTTTTATGGCCTTCCTTTCTCTCAGTTGAGGAACTGTTTGTTCGGTGTACACTGCTGCCACTTTCATTTATGCTGCTCTCCGCTTCATTGTCACTGCTATCCGCTCCGTTCGTCTTTGTGCCACTGGCTCTGCTATCTAAATCCTCGCGGTTCGCGTTACAGTTCTTCTCTTCAGTCCCAGATGAGTTCAAGGTATCCATGTTATCAAGATTCATGTATGCGGAAAACAAGTCATCTACCACCTCCCCTTCAGATTTCCTCTCACCCATCCCTTCTGCAATGATATCACCATCTCTATCCCACTCGGATTCCCGTTTCACCAACTGAATTGGCTTAGCTATTCCCGAATTGTCTCTTGCAGATGCCGATCGTTCCAAAACGCCAGGGCCCCTGAGCGGGATTAGTGGCGGAGAAGATTGCATGACAGTCGAGAACCCAAACGGAATATCACTGCTAGACCGCCTGTGCGTTTTACGAGGAGGCAGGCTCTCGCCCATCCTCACGGAATTACCTCTCGAGAAAGGTGAGGATGAAGGAGGCATTGGTGTGTTTGAGCTGCCGTCACGATCCTCCATGGAAACATCAGCAGAAGCTGTATCGGAGAGCGAGGTAGACGGAGAGTCTCGGTAAGGCGAAGGACTCAGTGGGGGTAAAGAATCAAACGAGAAAAATGCAGGCTGAGATAGAGATCTAGAATGCGAAGGTGCCGGGCTAAAATTTTGCGAACCCAGTGGTTGTGCATTGGATCGAGAGACTGGGATCTGCGAATAAGGTGAGGCGGGAGGAATATTTGGGTGTGATGGAGGTATACCCGGGCGCTTGTTGCTATCCGGGCTAGAATTCTGGGGAAGTGACCTCATGGGAGCACGGATTTGCGAAGTATTTAACTGAGGAATATCCAGTCGATTGGTCGATAAGTGTTGTTTCGGAACAGAGGAAGACGAAGCTCCGAACGAGGATTGAAGCCGTTGCGACGTGTCATTACGAGCTTCTTCGGTATCTTCCATTTTGCTCTCTCTAATTACTACGATACTAAAACGAAGGACGGATAGAAAACTTGAATACTAGTTGGGACCAGAATCAGAGCAGTTACAACTTACAACTCCACTTCAGTTCAAAGTGAGTTCCTTTTCTTTCTCTTTCAGAACCTCATGAAAAGGGAATCCTGATGACTAAACCCTAAAATGCTGAAGATCATATCACCAGAATCCCTCAATAAATAGATTTATATAAAACTACACCACTCAGGATTCATCACCTGATTAGCAGCCCTAGATTATCCAGCGGAAGAAACATAAGGTCCCTACCTCATCGTGGGTCCAACATTTCAAGCCGAAGCAGAACAATGCCGGCAGATCAGCGCAAGTAAACGCGAAATTCAAGCCAGATTGCAGGGGGGTTCCTCTTTCAATCCAGGTTATCCAGCAAAACAAGGACCGTCCAAATATGAGAAATTTCTCGGACGGAGAAGCCGAGGTCGCCGGCGCTCGCCCACACGAAAACTTGTCTCAAAGAACTACACAATATTTTCTTTTCCCTATTTTTTTCTTTCCCTCACCGAGTTTCCTTTCTAGATTCCGCGTAAATTTAAGTAGAATTTCATTTGACCCCAATTTCGATTTGCATTTGAGCCGAATTTGAGTTTCATTCCGACTGGCATTTATTGATTTATTTTCATATATTTCCAATTTTCGCCCCCATCCGGTCCAATCATCGCCTTCTTTTCCGCAGATTATCTAGGATTCTAGACTGGAAGTTTCGATTCTTGTGTCTGAAATGACTCCCGCTTTTAGAGCATTGACATGTGTGTTCATTTCATCACCTGTAGCAGCTAAGCAAAGCAATGTGTTGAAACCCGATCGAACCCTGGATTGCAGAGAGCTGCTCGGTCAGTCCGATCCAACAATGAATTGGACCGGCTTTAAGTTCAATGTTAACAATGAATTGGAAGTTAGGCCGAACTAGGGGTGGTGGATTCGAGCTGAATAGTTGGCTATTCGTACTCGGTTTGTTGAAATTGTGTTAGGTTGGTTCGAGCTTGAGTTCAAAATCGATTCGAGCTAGAGACTTGAGTTCAAACTTGGTTCGTTTCAAAGCTTGTGAGTTTGAGCTCGATTTGACTCGAGTTTGACTATAAGCCAATTTTTTTTCTAAACAATAAAAATTATAAATATAAAAATATTTTTTTATTTTACATATAAAAAATTAAGAATTATAACAATTATTTATTATTATACATATAAAAATAAATATATACATATAAAAAAATATTTTATTTTACATACAAAAAATAAGAATTATAAAAGTTATTTACTATTATACATAAAAATAAAAATATTATATATAAAATATTATTATGTATATAATAAAATTATTTATTAAATATATTTATATGTATATGTATATAATAAAAAATATTAATTTATTATACTAGGCTCGATTAGGCTTGCAAGCCTCACGAGCCAAGCTTCACTGGGCTCAATTAGCAAACGAGCCTATATATCATGCTCAAGCTCGACTCGAAACTTGGTTTAAATCGAGCCGAACTCGAATAACTTGTAAGAAGCTCAGCTTGTGGCCACTCTTAAGGCCGAACCTCAAATTGAGCTCCAAGTCAAGTTTGATCTATCAATTCAAGGCAAGCATGTACTAAATTTTAATATAAATGTATACTTTTATGTATGAATGTATGCAAATATTGGGCCCATCTAAGCTCATTGATCGAAAATTTAAAGCTTAACCTTTTATAAAATTGAGTTTGAGCCCCCCCCCCACCACAGGTCATCTTTGAGATACAATTCTAGTAAAAAGTTGACTCAACCCGTGAACCCGATCCAATCCAACCCGAAAAAATAGGGTTAGGGGTTTCATATATTAGCTACTTGAATGTGAGAATGACCCGACCCAACTCAGAAAAACTGGGTTGGGTCATGGGTCAACCTGCTGACCCAATTGTCAAGTCTAATTGAGACTATTTATGAATTGTTAAAAAGTTTTCACTCTTTAATTTTTTCTATTTAGTCTTCACTCTTTATTGTTTACTCTTTAAATTGTTAAATGTTCACGTTTTTTTTATTTTATATTTTAAATTTTAAGATTAATTCTTTAAATTTTGACATTTTGATGTAGTTATTCTTTATTTTTTTAAATTTCATTTATTTTTTGGGATGACCCAAATTGACCCATAGGTCAACCCTAACCCAAACATTTAGGGTTAGGGTCTAGCATTTGACAACCCAACCCAAAGTTCAACCCGACCCATAATCACCCCAAAGTGTCTTGACCCAACCCACCCAACTCAATTGCCAAGTCTAATTGGTTGTGTTTGAAAATATATTTGGCGGTTGGGGATATATAAATGGTGGTGGGTGGGGGGAATTTATGGTTTACTCTTTTCACAAATTTTTATTGATTTTTTGAATGTATTTTCCAATTTTTTCTTCTATGTTATAGTACCATTCTGTATTGTAATAGATACAAACCTATAAAAAATTTATGAAGTGGAGAAATCTATAAAATCCTCAAAAGAAAAGTGATATGCTAATATTTGGTTTTAATTGGATTATAATCATTTGAATTGATTTTGCACATTGAGCCTTAATTCTGGAAAATAGAAATACGAAATATATACAATACAAATGCAAAGTGTAAAATAAAGTATATAAAGTTTTGCGTTGTACATATTTATATTTGTACTCTTCCCAAACCGAAAAGAATACAAGTACAAAAATATGCATAGTGTAAAACCTTATATTTTATATTTTTAAACCATATATTTGTATTTAGCCTCATGAATTAAACAAAAATGATCAAAATATTATAAAATGAATTAAAACAAGGCAATGCCTTACATAACCATACATGAATTTACATGGACAAATTCAAATAGAGTATAATTCTATCCTCGTCATGATTTGGACCTGTCGATGTGACTTTTTAATATTTGGTGATAATTTAATTAGTTTTATAGCATTATTTATTTCGCGTCAATGTCCGACGACGGTGGGATCCAACACTTTGCATTTGTTGGGACGAAAATTTTGAATATTCCCTACAGTGGACTTTATCCATTTATTTTACCCCAAACTTTGGATTTTGTAATGAAATTGACAAAATAAATAATATATATTTTAAAAATATTGTTTACACTGTAAGATGCCGACGTGAAAATGGACCCTGATTTAAAACGATTTTGCATATTCTCCGTGTGTTATTCGGTTATGCATTGATCGTTCTATATTTAATGAATTGATTGATCGTCTCCTTGTCCCTATCGTTGAAACTTACAAGTAATCCAAATTTGCGTTTGTGTTACTTTATAAGTTGTATCCATGGTTAAGAAAATCTGGTATTCGATCATTACGAAGCATCTCGGTTCCTCCATGTTTGATATCATTGTCATTTTTTTAGAATAAAATGTAAGAGATATAATAGTATTTTATGTCAAAATGTTAATATAGCCATTTTGACATGAAATTTGTTTTATTGGTATAATTATGGTTTTCGAAATTGGATCGGATCAGATGGTTGGATTGGAAAAACCGGGTATCGGTTAGGTGATTGGTTTCATTTTACTCCAGAACTATTATTACACCATATATTGTTGACCCGGGTGGTTAAATCGTTCGAACCATCCAACGGTTTTGGTCCTTTTTTTAATTTTTTTGTCAGAATGGGCCATTCATTCGGTTCGAATGATTGGACCGTTTAACCTAGAAACTGGACCCTTGACAGGTTCGTTGTCTGGTTTAGTTTTCAAAACCTTAGGTATAATGATGTTTATGCATTAAAATTTAAAAATTAAAGTTTTATGCAGCTATGGATCATGTTGGCTGCTGTGTTGGTTGTCGGATCATGACTCCGATGCTAATTACACCAAACAATATGAAGAGATGCAATAAGAAAAAGAAAGGGTCATTTACTAAAAACTACCTTATAGTTTGTGTTTTATTAAAATGCCCCTATAGTTTATAATCGATTTATTTACTTGACCTTGATCTATTAAATGATAATAGAAAATGACAGTGTGTTGACCTTAACGTTCATGATTAATTACTTGTACATGAGTCCGGATCTCTTGCACATTGATCCTAACATATTCATGTACATCAAATCAGAGGGTGCTACGACAATACCCTCTCATGTGAGAGAGTAACGAATGTTTCAAATGTCCTCCCATCTTATTTTTTTACATATTAAAATTTAGGGAAATTACAATGACTCCCCTGTAGTATGGGGTCTTTCACAAAGACCTCCTATACTTTGTTTGGCAACAAAGACCCCCCTATATTTTGACCGTGAGACAAAGACCCCCTTCTGTTAACCTTTGGTCCAAAAAGGATGTTGCAATATTTATTAATCCCCATACTGCCCTTGTAATAACTATTCGGACAATTGAGAGAAAAAACACTATTCATCTTCCCGACCTCATGATACACGAACAACAGCGGTGATAATCCCCTCTACTTCAAATTCCTTCACATTTCTCTTTCTCTCTCTCTCTCTCCCCTCCCCCCCGATCTCTCTTCTTCCCCTTCTCCATCATCTACCACCACAGATGTCACCATTCTGCATGTCATTTGCATCAATAATATCCAAGTTCTCACCCCAATCACCATCAACAGCCTCTTCATCATCTTCCTCTGCACCCCTCCCTGCATTATCCAGCCCACCCTCAAAGATACCTTTCATAACCCTCAACAAGGGCCAATCTCCTCCATAGAGAATAGGTGATGGAGGCATCAGAAGCAATGATACTCTCCCCTCTGGCAAGGTTGGAACATTATCTCCCAATTCAGCTACAAGACGTTCAACAACATCTTGGAGACTACGGACAGAAGCAGTAACATATGCAAGGAGCAAATGACCATCATTTTCTAAAATCTTGACACACTCCTTGACATCACCCAAGTATAGGGTATTATGAAATTGGCCCATCACATCATTTTTTATTTCAGCAATTCTCAGCATTTTAGACAGTTTGTCCATATTCCCTGTTACCAAATACAGGAAGGATAACCTCTCAAAGTTCTTTGTCCTCTGGTACGCATATTCTACAATACTCGCATTGCCTTGGCGCAAGGCCTCTACCCCCAACTTATACCAGTGGTCTTTCTCATCAATCTTCTTAGCTGAAGCAACAACAATCTGAATGTTACAATTCTCAAGTGCCAAGTTGAATCGAGTTCTCTCATCTTTTACAAAATGTAGAGCAACTTCTAGGAAACCTTTCTGTTGCAAATAGGCAATCATGGCCTGCCCATAGAGCTGTGAGCTCCTGATCATGTTCATAACCTGATCATATCTCTTCTTTAAAAGGGAGAGCTTAAAAACATACTCTGTTGCATCAATTACTATTGCGCAGTTCTTTCTGTCCCGATCCAAGCAAAAAATGGTGTTGCCAGAAACCTTGGTAATGTATATTAGGACATCAAGGGTCTTGATGATCCCACTATCCCCATTAGGAAGGCAATACTTGATATGGTTCAGAGTTATATATATGGAGATGGTGATTGGGGAAGGGGAAGAAGAGAGAGAGAGAGAGAGAGAGA